TTCAAACAATCTGTCAAATTAAGGACAATGAGCACTTTTGGTGACTGAGGTAACTATGTCATTAACAGTGTTAATAAGGCTATCCCAGTAGATGCCTTAAGATTTGTGGCATGTATACACTTAAAACTAGCTAAATCTATCAGATAGGTCTGACGGCTTGAATCTTTTTAATCTCCTAACTTCATCTTCATGGGTTAGTAGTGAGGCTGCGAGTTCGTTTGGATGTACTTGTAGTCTCCGACTGTACTTAGCACTACACTTTTTAATTTCTTCTCGCACTGTAGATACACTTAAGTCCTTATGTAACACTGTATTGGGCACATACCAGGGCGCATCAACTATTTCTCTGAGAATCTTGTTCTGAAATCGTTGTAGTATTTCCAGGTTTGAATTGCTGGCTGTTCCCCACAGTGATATTCCATACGTCCATATAGGTTTGAGTATTGCCTTGTAGAGTAAGAGTTTGCTATTAAGAGATAGTTGTGATCTTCGTCCGATTATCCAGTACAATTGCCGAATTTTCAGGCCCAATTGTTTTCTTTTGCTGAAGATATGTTTCCGCCATGTTAGCCGGCGATCTAAATGTATGCCAAGATACTTGGCTTCATCTGCTTGTGGTAGTTGTGAGTCATTTAGTGTAACTGGCGGGCATTGTCCTTTTTTCATAGTAAATGTTACCTGGACCGATTTGCTCTCATTGACTTTGATCTTCCACTTTCTTAGCCATTTTTGCATGTCATGTAGGTTTTCTTGAAGACATCTAGATGCCGTAGCAGGATCCATATGGGTTGCTAAAACAGCGGTGTCATCAGCATATGTTGCAGTCATGGTCATTTCGGTAGTAGGTAGGTCTGCAGTGTAAAGGAGGTATAGTAACGGGCCTAGTACGCTGCCTTGAGGTACCCCAGCTAGTATAGGGTAGATTTCAGTGTAGAAATCTTCATGTTTGACGAAGAAGTATCTTTGAGTAAGGTAAGATTTTAAGATGGAGAACATATTATGGGGCAGATTTGACTTTAGTTTGTAACAGAGTCCCTGGTGCCACACCTTGTCAAATGCTTGGCTAATATCGAGAAAGGCTGCTGTACAGAACTTCTTTTCTTCTAGGGCGTTGGAGGCTTCTTTCACTACTCTATGTACCTGTTCAATAGTACCGTGCTTGCTTCTGAAACCAAACTGATGGCTTGGTATTAATTTCTGTTCTTCTAAGATTGGTGTGAGGCGTTTCAGCAAGAGTTACAACAGACTTCAATTTAATTTTATTTAATACCAACACAGCACAAAGCCGAAGATAAACAAACCAGAGATTCACTACTAATCAATAGAATCATATTGTCAAATATGAAGGAAAACATGGATCCATGTTAAACAAAAATTCAGTTTCTAAGTACACAGAGATTCACCTGATGATGACCCAGTAAGGGTTGAAACATGTGATTGACACAAATGTAAATGACCTTTGTTATTAGTTCCACCTGAACTGTTGTGCTGACGGATACAAATTACGGTTTTGAATGACACACAACAGGATGCAACACTCGCGACACTTTGACTCTGGCTGCTGCTGTCAACAGTTGCTCAAGAAACACTCCAGCTGTGGGCAGAACGGATTCACGAGCAAAATGTGTTCACTCTCGAGAATTATTTAAATCATTTACTGATCTTGGTGAAACTTTCAGCAATGTGTACCCTGATATGTAAATACCAACAGGGATTCAGCTTGTATATACTGGTGTAGTGCAGGTTGAGGTCTAAATGACACACCCTGTATAACGACAAGGGCGCATTTCTGGTTTTATGTGGGGACGGCAACACAAAACGTTCTGAACTGGATTATTTGACAGCGCTTGTGAGACGGATCATGTCAGTTTCTTTAGCGTATCTATGCGCATGTGTGTTAAGGAACCAAACAGCTCCGTCTCTCCCCCTGCCCTTGATACGTTGGGGCATTTGTTAAGCAACGATGCATATTATCTTAAAAAAAGCTGTTCTACCGGGCGCTTCGCGACCTTTCAGAGACCGGTTATAAACTGTAGCTTCCATTGCGCGCAGGTAAAATATAAGCGAACACTGGAGCCAGTCCTCGGGTTTCGCCATGGAATGGGCTCAACAAAAACGCTTTCAAGCGTGAAATGAGTGGCAGGGAGGTAAGGAAGAGCGGCAGAAGAGTAGTGAATAAGGGAAAGTCATGAAAGCAGTTGAAATAGGGAGAAACAACATCGTGTTTAAGAAGGCTCGCAGACTTCTCCTTCTGCTCCTTCTGATAGGACACAGTGAAGACGGTAATATGGTTAGAAGTAGTGGCCTGAGACAGCGACCGCGGGATTCTGGTTTTTTAAATTAATGATGAATTGCATAATTTTGAAACGTAACTTGCGGACTCCAGAACGAGTGGGTTAATGTTTTATAAATTTAAAATCGGGAGGACCGTGTGAGAAACACGCGGTGGCACGTTGAAACTTGGAGCCATCTAGGAATATTCTGAACACATAAGAAAACAAGCAACGAGATGTTCGATCACAGTACTTTTCGGATACAGAAAATAGAGAAATAGTGACACCCTTGATTGATATCATCTGCCAGTTAAGAAAGAGGCAACTTGCCCTCCGTGGTCATGACGAAAGCGTGGATTCTATCGATCGAAGTAATTCTGTGGAATTAGTTCACTTTTTGAGGAAATATGATCATAAACTCAATGTTCACCTTGAGAACAGTACAGTATTTACAGGTTTATCGAACAGAATACAAAACGAAAGAAAACAAGAAGTAGCCGCTGCAGCACTATAGACGTGGGGCGAGTAACCCTGAGAATTTTAAATTTTAAATTTAAAATTTGGGGAAAAAAAATTAAAAGAATTTTTAAAATTGGAACTGAAGATTTTAAAAGTGCCAGTTCATGAAGGTCAAAATTGACGTGTGTGGGTGGCAAAGATGAGGTACGAATCAGACAAATATCAGCGAAGTAGATCCTGTTAGCAGCGACGAAGGGAACAATTGGGAAGACCTGTATGTTTTTAATTTTAAACTGGGTGCAGTGTAACAGCTACGTGAGTGTATACACCTGACGATGGCCGTTTGCGGCCGAAACATGTAGTGTAGAAGAAAGCAAGACGAAAGACATACAATACATTGTTGCACTTAGGACGGAGTTTATATCATATATCCTATAGAGTGCAACAGGATGCTTAAATATAATATTATAAAACGACCTTATTGACTCAATAAGTGACGTAAATTTTGGTGAGTTGATTGCTGTCAGTTCGTTTATTAGATACCACTGCTTCCCTTACCAAAAATAGTACCGCACGCCACTGCATACAACAGTGGTTCTCAACGTTTATGAGACCTCGGCCTTGTAAATTCTTTTTTATAAGACAGTGCTTCTCAACCACCGGGCTGCGGCACAGTAGTGGACCCTGGCATCAATTATACTGGGCCGCGAGAGGCTCTTCTGGAATTTGTCATTTTCATTTTCTAAGCATTTTTCATGAATAAATATTTTATAGCGGAAATATTCTGAGGAGAATAATATTTATGTCGAGAAGCTCAGACACAGAACACCTAAATCTGTGTAGCAAATGTCAGTGACCAAGCCGCATATTTTTAAACATGGAAGTATTCATGAATGATGGGGAATTTTCACACATCCAAATCTTTCAACATTCGGGAAAGGCAATACCGATGTTTATGACCAGTCATAAAGATTGCCTGCAAGCCGATTACAACAATTGGCGGCATATCCTCTGTTCTCAGAACTGAGCGAAATAACATCTGTGTTGTAAATGTCAGTGACCAATCAGCAAGGAAGTATAAAGAAAATGTTTCCACTGAAATTGAAGATCAAGGCAGTCTGTATCCGGTTCTCAGATCTAGTAATACTGAATACTGTTTCTTCGCAAGTTCGCATTGCTGTGTGTAAGTGCTTGTTTCGAAACCTGAGTGATTTAAATTTTAATATGAATAAGAGACAGGGGACTTTGTTTAATTTTGGTGTAAAGAAATCTCGTATTGAAGGTGTTTGTGACGCAACAAGTAGTGATTTATCCACCTCAAGCCTACATAGCGATCTCCAGGATGTACAAAATGAAGGGAAAACCACCAGCACACAGAAGATGAAGTCTGCATCAATTCGTAAGTACATGAACAGCTACTTAAAATTTGGTTTCATACAATGTCCTAACCCTGACCAATTGCCACGACCTCAATGTGTCATTTGTGCTACTGTTCTGGGAAATGAAGCTATGAAGCCATCGGGACTTACCCGACATCTCAACACAAGACCCTTCATATCTAGTCAACTGAGATGCCCACACTTGAACCTTGCTGAGCACATGCTCACAGGACTTCTTTCCATAATGTTTCTACTGAAGTTTTTGACAAACCGTATGATTTGCAGTTACCGATTCATACGGCAATAAATGGCAGGGACTGAAATTCCGTCTGGGCGTGTGTGTGTGTGTGTGCCAGTCACTTGCTGTGTATCATGTTGTGTCCATGCGCAACTGTCGAATGCCCAAGGCCAGTGCGTCCACAGAGTGGGCAGTTGCGTGTCACGGACGTTAATAGCGTTTGTAATGGATGTTAGAGAGATAAGATGGAATGTTATGGATTGGATTATTCGGGCTCAGGATGGGGACCAGTGGAGGGCTCTTGTGAATACGGTAATGAACCTTCGGGTTCCATAAAATGCTGAGAAATTCTCGAGTAGCTGCAGAATTGGCGGCTCCTCAAGAAGGGCTCAGCTCCATGAGTAAGTAAGTAAGTAAGACCCTGGTAAACTGGTCTATGGAATTCTGCGTTTTTTCGCACGTAAAATTACACGGATTTCCTTTCCTGTGCTCTGTTCAAATTCCATTTGTTAAAAACTTCGAGTCCAGTGAAAGGCATTGGGGGGGGGGGTATTTTCTTGACCAGCTGTGCGACTGTTAGCTTGTGAAGAAGGGACGCTGTCGTATGGGGTTAATAGGCGTACATGTAATTATGAAATTCTGTTGTTCCAGATCTCCTGCAGGCACCCCGGTTCACTATGCAACCCTCATCGTCCGACAGCATTGTTAGCGAGGGACGGACCAAGATCCTGCAATGCCAAGCAATAGGTGAGTCTCACAGGACTGAAGCCACTTCACTAGCCTGCTCTGTAGCAAAGGGCTGCAGTCTGGGAAGACTAGTCAGGGTTCGATTTCTGGCAGAAGTAAGAGCTTTCTGTACTCTACATCATCCACACCGCTTCAGCGACCCAACAAACCTCCCTTACAATGGGTACCGGACTCTTTCCCGAGGAATGAAGCGGCCGGAGCGTGAAGCTCACCACTCCTATCTAGTCCCATGGTCAGGAATGGTGGAGCCACACGTCTTCATGGCGTTTTGCTTGATTAATTAAGGACAGGGACTTTAACTTTTAAATTAGGCGGTACATATAGTTACCGTTGGGCGTTAGTAACAGCGGCAGCAGTAATTGTATTGAGAACTCAGCCTCAGGTTCACCTCGTTTGACTTCTTTTAATGGGACAGGTAACGCACTGGGCTTGTGCACGGAAGGTGCACGGTTCGATTCTCGGACCGAAAACCGGCCGTACTAACCGAGGCTTTATTTTATTGCTAGTGGGGTGGGACTAAGTCCCTTGTACTGCGGCGACTTCTGGCCTATTATACCAGCCCCAGATGATAGGTGAGGGCGATTGTGGAGAAATTGGTGGAATGAAGATTGGCAGGGAAAACCGAAGTACTAGGAGAAAACCTGCTCCAGCGCCACTTTGTTCACCACATATCTCACTTGACCAGACCCGGGATCGAACCGGGGCCGCCGCGGTGGGAAGCCAGCGACTAACCGCTTGAGCAATGGCACGGCCGTAACCGAGGCTTCCATGGCCTTCTTCAGTCTCCCAGCAAATTGAAGGGTGGTACGTAGGTTACGTCTCAGTCATTTCCTCCATATTTTATCCAATTCACAGTACATCAGTCAAACAACCATTTGACGCTGTACCATATTGTACGAGAAAGAGTCAGTAAATAGGTCACAAATGAATACAAAACGCAAAACATGTAACATTTGCATCTAAGAAAAACATTTATTTCTCGACATATCCTCCACTAACGTTAATACACCAGCGCGTCGATACCCGCAGCATAGAAGTCTTTTGGCTGTTGTTTGAGCCACTTCCGCATCTCTGTTTTAACCTCTTTGTCATCAGCGAAATGTTTGTTACCCAGTTGTGAACCGCTTTACGCGACAGACACTTCCCACCGTAAACAGGAAACATTCCCCTTTTAATTTCCTTTGCATTGAGTCCTTCTGCCAACAAGAAAGCGCACAACAGAACGATTCTCTTCGGTAGTATACTCCTCAAGCACAGTCGCCATTTGGACTACCGAAACTAGCCTGCCTTGGGCGAAAAGTATTGTGTCTTCTGTTTGAGAATGGTGGCGTGTGATGCCTGTGTAGCTTTCAGGACAACCGTTTTGGAGTTACCATGTACTCAGGTCATAGTTGAACTGTCCTCTGGCTGTATGAATGTTATAAATAAAATTTGGGTTAGGGAGGAGAGGCTCCTAGAACGTCCGAACAAAACACTGACGCCATAGGCTTTGCCCTCTCCCTGCAGGCTCCCTGTTTACCGCCACCAGGTGAAGTCGACAAGATGAGTTCGGGCTGGTGGCCTGACCACGGACCTCAGCTATCGACATTCCAGCTATTACTCTTTCGTTAGATGTGAATAAGGTAAAGAATTCGGGCAATGTTTCCCACCATTCTGTTCAGAACCTTTTGCCTTCTCGTCTGCTGTCCGAAAACATACAAATTAGAATATACAAAACTATAATTTTGCCTGTTGTTCTGTATGGGTGTGAAACCTGGTCTCTGACATTAAGGGAGGAACATAGACTGAGGGTGTTTGAGAACAGGGTGTTGAGGAGAATATTTGGACCGAAAAGAGATGAAGTGACAGGAGGTCGGAGAAACCTGCATAATGAGTGACTTCATAGCTTGTACTCTTCTCCAAGTATAATTACAGTGATCAAGTCAAGGAGGATGTGATGGGAAGGGTATGTAGCGCGAATGGGGGAGAAGAGGAATACATATAGGAGGATATTTGTGGGAAAGCCAGAAGGAAATAGGCCACTAGGAAGACCAAGACGTAGGTGAGTGAACAATATTAAAATAGATCTTAGAGAGATAAGATGGGATGGTATGGATTGGATTGATCTGGCGAAGGATAGAGACCAGTGGATGGCTCTTGTGAACACGGTAATGAACCTACGGGTTCCATGAAAATCTGGGAAGTTCTCGCGTAGCTGCACAATTGGCGGCTTCTCAAGAAGGGCTAAGCCCCGTGAAGTTAGTTCAGTTAGTGGATAAGGTAACATATGACGCTATCTCTGGGCTTAATTAATTAAGTACCGCCCCATAAAGACGTATGGAAGGAGTGGTTGTGTAGCTCCACCATTCTTAAGCTTGGCATTAGATGGAGGTAATTTGGTCAGTTTCACGCCCTGGCTGTTTTACCACCGGGGAATCGACTCGGGTACCCATTTTATAGGAGGTTGGATGGGGCCCATAACCGGTCTGGACATTACAGAAAAGAGAAAAATTTCTTGCCGTGCCGTGAATCGAACCCCGATCCTCTGCCGTCCAGCCTAGTCACTGTACAGACTGAGCTATCACGGATTTATTAGGTGTGAACACTGATTGATTTTGTGAGATCTTGGTTTTCATTGCGGTGATTATAAGGTCTCTTCGGATCTGGCGGTATGTAGTCTGGCAGAAGTTCACCGGTATTTCTTACGAACGTAAATTACGTTACTACCGTCGTCTTCAGGATCGAAGACCCTTTCGACTCTGAGGAAGGAGGCAAAATGTCCCTCCCAAACGTATGTAAACTTCTGACTACACGGCGTCAAATCCCAGGAGACGGTGTTCTTCACCGATTAATGTTACTTAAAATCTTGGCATAACTAACTCCAAGCAGGACAGGCATCCTTGAAAATCTGATAATTGTTTATTTAGTCAACAATTATCCCGCTCTTATGAAAACAGGAAGTTCATTGCCGTGTTCACAATATCTCGTCACTGGCTCCTGTCTTGAGACAGTCCTCATCTTCGTGCCCAGCGTTAAGTCCAATTTTTAATATTATCCTGAAATCTCCAACCCAGACCGTCAAAGTAGTCTATTGCCTTATCATCGAAGATGGGATAGCTCAGTCTGTATAACGGGCTACGGGCTCGGGTTGGATTCCCGGAAGGTCACGATTTTTCTCTTCTCAGCTTCCGGACCGACTCTAGGGCCCATCCAGCCTCAATATCTAATAGGTGCCGGGGAAAAAGCGACAGGTGCTCGAAGCTGACCACTCACCTCCATCCAGTGCCAAGGTCAAGAAAGGTGGAGCTATACGTCCACTACCCCACACGTCTTCATAGTGTGTTACTGAACTAGTTAAGTACAGTGAAAACTTTACCGTTTTACCTGTTACATGACATGTCCGTGTCATGCTCCTTGAGTTGATCACGCAAATAATGTTTGGGACAGCGGTGTCTGCCACATACCTCGTCATTGCGTTGGCGTTCAGTCCGGAAGTGCTTTGTTGCTAAGCAAGCCACACGTAACGAACCGTTGAGAGTCACCCCCGGCGAGCCCGGATATCGCCAGCTGGTGGCAGTGGTTCCTACACACTGGCAGCCGTACCTTGTTACAACTGCTTTAGACAGAATAGTATGCCACTGCGATTTCCCGAGGCCGCTTAGCCTTCCAAAGCAGTGATAGCTATACGTACCACTATATAATAAAAAGGTGAATATATCCTTGTAAAAGGCCATGGAGGCCCATAGGGTTGAGAGACGTCGAGGCTCCCACATTTTCTTTAGACAACTGGCTCACAGATGGCGGTAAAGTCGGCCTTACGCACCGGCAACCCTTACCTCTAGGAAAATTCCTGGTAATCATTTCTGCCAGAGGCTGAGTCGACCCTAGGGCCATAGTGTCGGTGGAAGGATTACGTAAATTGAAAAAAATTCACCTCATCGGGACTCGAACCCGTGACCTTCCGGCTAGTAGCGGCGGCCCGGATTCGATCTTAGATCAGGTTTTGTCGGACTTGTGATGGATTGGGTCCGGTTTTTTCCCCCAAATACTTCGGATTCCCTTGCCATTTCTTATTCCACCATTTGCTGTTCATTCATTAATCATCCATCGTCTGACGCTCTACTCTCATAATCTCGATACTGACAGCATAGTTAAATAACCAACTTAAAAACACTGCATTCTGCCCACACAGTGTATTTGTGTGTTCCGTATGGTTCTCACAATAAACAGCGATTGTTTACCTAAACAGCATTAACCGGTTGGGCTTTGTAGCGGAGACGTAATGTGTTTCCTGTGAGGTACGGACTGAAGTCTGCATTCTGCCCATTCAGTGTATTTATGTGTTCCGTATGGTTCTCACAACAAACAGCGATTGTTTCCCTAAGCAGCATTAACCAATCACCCCCTCAAAGTTGAAGTGTAGAATGAAAAGTTAATGTTGTCCCTGTGCTTAATTAATTAAGCACCACGCCATTAAGACGTATGGGTGTGCGGGGGTATAGCTGTACCATTATTTACCTCAGCACAGGATGGAGGTGATTTGTCAGCTTTAAGCCCCGGCCGCTTTACCTCGTGTACCCATTACATAGAATGCTAGGTGGACCCCAGAAAAGCACCAGGCCATTAAGACGTATGGGTGTGCGGGGGTATACCTGTACCATTATTTACCTCAGCACAGGATGGAGGTGATTTGTCAGCTTTAAGCCCCGGCCGCTTTACCTCGTGTACCCATTACATAGGATGCTAGGTGGACCCCAGAACCGGTCTGGATGCTGTGAAGAAGATATTTTGTTTTCTTCCCTGATGGGATTCGGGCCCCGATTCTCCAGCCCGTAACTGACTGAGCTATCCAGGCTTGCAGTCGAAGAGTGGGGCACGCAAGAAACCAGCAGGAAAATGCGGCAAATCCTTGGGGTTTCTAAATGTATTGCTAGGATAGGCTGGTTTCATAGCCCTCAATTTATCTTCCATCTGCCCTTTAATCTCTACATACTACTGTGCCTCTCTCCGTTTGTCCATTC